AACCATGTATACTCGGCCCGAATGCTAAGAAGTACAAGAACCTGTTGTTGATATCGAGATCAATATGTGCGACGGTTCCTAGGTTTCTAGTAGTTAGAATATGACAGTATGACGTAAATTCTTGAAAACTTTCTTCGAGTAAACCACGAAGAATTTGAAGGTCATTCTCCTTACCCCTCCACGCTTTATTGTAGCCAATCCTTACACCAAACTCACGTTCCATATCGCCGATAATACCGACAGAAAAGTATGGTTGGTTTGCATCATTCAATCGTTACATTATGTGATGCCCAATTAGTGCACTCGTTGCATGAATTTGTGAATTCCGCCAAACGTCTAAAGGGCATGTGTGCTCACGTATGTACTTTCGAATCTTAAATATGTCTGAAGTTTTTATCTTTGAAGCTCGTACAACCCAATGGCACGTGCTATCGACATAACACACAGTAAGAGATCTAATATTCGACTTTTTAATCTTGAAATAAAACTTCTCTGTCAAAACCTTTAGTCGAAGCTTTGTGTGTAGCCGTTTCTTGCTAAAGAAGATCTGATTCTCCTCAATGTCTGCTTCATCCATCGGCTAAATTTCATTTCCAATATACGAATTCCCTTCGCCCAAACTTACAACCATATTATGAATCATTTGTGGCTCTTGTAGTTCGCTCACATCCACTTTGTTACATCCACAAAATGCATCTTCTATGGGTGAGAAACAATCTACTCCGACACGCACTTCGTGCTCTCCAGCATCATATTGATCTGTAGTTACACAAAAGTTGCTTGTGTGTGAACAGAAATGTACCATTGCAGATCCTCATCGTCGGCTACATTAGCAGGTTGTATATTCATATTCGGAACTTTAAATTTCAATTGAATTTGAAACTTCATTCTGTTAAAACTCTAGAATTACATTTAAACTATCATTCTTGATATTTATAAAGTGTCGAGAATGACATTACGGGATTCACTTCAACATATGCATTGATCATCTTCTTTAACTTCAACCACCATTTTTGAAAA